AGTTATTTTGAGATGATACAATAAGACTTATTTACTTTGTGTAATTATAAAATAATTCTTTACATCATCAAATTAAATTGATTACCATTAAATTGCAGGGAGGTTAAGGCTTTTTGAACTTATTGAAGAAAAGGAAAATGAAGATAACTATTCAAAGCTTTGCAGGGTAAATGATTTCGAAGCAATGATTAATGAAAGAGAACTTAAAAGGTTAGATATTGCAAAAGCATGTTTAAATAACATTAACAATTTAAAAAAAAAACTTAAATGTTTAATATTTAAAATTCTATTTATATTCGTATAAAAAATTGTGTGGTTTATAATATGTGAATTATTAATAAATAACTATACAATTATTTTTTTCCTTTTGCATATGTTATGTTAAAATTTTTTTTTATAATTTTGTGAAATTAATGTTTCCTCAATTCTCTGTTTAATGCTATAAAAATATGCTGTAGAAATATGCTAATATGTATGATGATAATATAATAAAAACTTGTTTATTTCTTTTTTTTCTCAATAGTAAATGATAGATAATAACTTCATGCTCGCATGATTCAAAAAATTATAAATGTGACCAATCATCAATTTAATGCGATTAACCAATCATGAGAAGATCATGAAAAGATGTAAGTCACGGGAACACTAAATCACAAATTACATCATTTTGCAAGAGACTATAACTACAGTTTATGTATATATAACACTGTAAACTAGTTATAGTTTACATATTTATGTAATCATAGTAAGCATCTTGTCTATGGAAATTAAAGAGGGCAAAATTAAACACAAGTTCATAAAAATTGCAAATCAAGTATTTGTACAGGAATTTTTAAAGTAATCTTGAAGATTGTATCATTTTTTCGTATTTAACCTCTTGTGCTAAATTTCTGTTCGTCTTATGATTTTGTTGGGATTTGACCCAAGTCCATTATCAATATCCACCTAGAATACATGAAATTTAAAAATGTAATTCATTACTCCATAATGATAATGATAAACATAATTTATGACTCAAGTAAAGTATTTCTGGTAGTTAAAAAATTTAGTTATTATTTTACTAACAAATAACAAAAAAAAATTTCTCATTACAACAAAAAATCACAAAACCATTATAACTATAATATATAACTACACAAAAATTTGACCTAAAATGACTATGAAAATTTCTACAAATTAATTCAAAAATATCATAGATGTTTGTTACTCACAAACTTAGTCATCTTTTGAACAGAAGAATGTCTAAATCATTTCAATACAATTCATCTTCAAAAAAGAATGATTTAATTAATAAAATCTATAGATCTATAACTACAAAGTTCCTCAATGATATCATCACCAGAATCTGATCCAGTATCCAACAAACTGCCTCGTTTTTGAATTATTTCTTTTCATATTTCCCCTACTTAAAAATTAAATTGATTACCATTAAACTGCAGTGAGGCTAAGGTTGTGTTCACGTGAAGGGAATTTATTATTGCTTTGCCCACGTCATTACCAAGAACATTATATGAAAGATCTAAAGAAGTTAAAGTATGGTTTTTGTGAAGAGCATCTGCTAGTGCTAGTCCGCCCCAAGCCCAAGTTGATTAAGGTAAAGATCTAAAGTAGTTAGCATATTATTTTTGCAAAGGGCATTTGCCAATGCTTTTCCTTCACCGGAGCCAAGCTGATTGGATGAAAGATTTAAATAAATTAAACTGTTGTTTTGGAAAAGAGCATCTGCCATTGCTTTCCCTCCATAAGAACCAAGATTGTTATTTGAAAGAACTAAAGAAGTTAAAGTGCTGTTCTTGCAAAGAGCGTCTGCTAGCTCTTTTCCAATATTGGGGGACCAAACTTATTATTGGAAAGGACTAAAGTAGTTAATATATTGTTTTTGCAAAGAGCATTTGCTAACGCATTTTCTCCTAACAAACCAAGGTTATTATTTGAAAGATCTAAAAAAGTTAAAGTATTGTTTTTGTGAAAGGCATTTGCTAATGCTTCTCCGCCCTTACATCCAAGTTGGTAACAGTAAAGGTCTAAAGTAGTTAGCATATTGTTTGTGCAAAGAATGTTTGCTAATAATTTTCCTACATCAGAGCTAAGCTGATTATATGAAAGATTCAAATAAATTAAACTGTTGTTTTTGAAAAGAGCATTCGATATTGCTTTTCCTTCAAAAGAACCAAGTTTATTATTTAAAAGACTTAAAGTGTTAAGCTTCTCACTTTTTCGTAGAAACATTAAAATCAAAGAATGTTTAACAGCTATTATGAGATAATTTTTTTCGCATCCTTTAAGGAAATTTATCACTCCTCTGCTCAAATGCTGACCGTCGATAGATTTAATAAAACTTGTATATCCAAATAATAGTGTCAGATTATTTTCTGAAAAGTTGATTTTAAATGAAA